GGGGGGGGAGAGAACGGTGAATACTATCGGTAGCAGAGATGAAGGGACAAAGTAATTAACCACCTAAGATAAGTAAACAATGATGAAAGGGAGATTTGCCGAGCCACAATCTTCACCGAAGCTATTCCGCCGATAGCGTGTTTGCTATCATTTGAATAAACGGGAATAGCATCGAAAAACATATGCTATTGGGACAAACTCAATCAACGAGCTATGATTAAGCAGGCGGGAAACGCCATCAAAATTTAAAAGACAAAGACAAAAATAGCGGACCGAAAATCAGTTATTTAGAGTAATAAGGCCTTCCAGGTGACCGAAAGAAATGCAAGAAAATAGCAACAACACATATCTAATGAAAACACGAACCATCAACAGTTCCAGGTGGAATGAAAATACGTCGCCAATCAGGGTAAAGTTAACCAATAGATACCCTAGAAGCCCAAAACCAATTACCACCTCGATGAAAGTGACAAAAGTAAAATCAAGACTCTTAATACAGGGCAATAATCACCAAGACGCCGAATGGAAAGATAAATATCCGACTTCAGTCGATGAAAAGAAGAATTCACAGCATTCGCAGTGCAGAATCCGCCTCAGTAAATAAAAAAACACGAGCACCCAACAATATCGATGTGACTCAAAGCCCAAATTAAGTCTGCAATTAATCCCCTCGTTTACCTGACCCTTTTCACGCCAAATACCACAAGAAGGGTACTCAAAGAGGGAGAGGAGCGACTAGACTTTCAGAGACCTCCGAAAACGATCTTTTGAATGAGCTATCTTGGTCACCCCTAACCTAGAGAACCCATCTCCACATCTGACGACGCCGTTTCAAGATAGACTTCATCTGACCTATAGAATGGTACAGAAACGAGCATGCAGAACCAGCGAACGGGTAGCTACACAACTAGTGCTGCTACCGCTATTACCGCCGCTGCCGCCGTTGGCTAACCAACTGGAAATTCGGCAGGCAGCTAGCAAGCAAGCAAGCAGGCAATGAGACGCGCAGAGTATTTTTGGTCACCATACACACACACACACACACACACACACACGGGCAGAGCCTGTGTAAAAATAGTAGGCACAACACGACGCACGGGGCAGACGAGCGAGCGAGCGAGTGGGGCAGCCTGGCAACGACTAACACCCACGCACTAGCACGCATGCGCGCAGTAAGAGGTTGAGGGTGGAAAACACGTACACACACATGTCTAGACGCCGAATAGAAGTGAACTGCCTACAGACACGTGCTTGGGCATTCGAGATCTGTTTCGAGCTAGTAACACTTACAATGAGTAGAAAAGCGATGGAAATTATGATGGGCACTTCCTAAACAATGAATACCCAAAATTTGAAATTACCAGAAGCGTCACTTCCGTACGGCACGCATTGATAACCATCTCCGGTATTGGAAAAGGTGACCCCAAATAGCAAAAGTGATCCAGCTTTTGATTATCTTGAGCAAAATAAACAACGCTTAAAAAAACATGATCAGAACGTGTTTGACGATCTTCCTGATGACAGAAATTATATCGCATGGAATTACAGACACCGTCAGCAATAATTGCATATAAATTGAGACATCTGCGGTCATTTTGAAGTATTTTTGCGTTACGAAGCTCAGAGAACTGACACGTTTTGCGAACTGCTTCTAACCTCAACAGCCTCATGCGCTCCGCCATATTACGCCCCAAAATCCAACTTGAAAAGAAATCCTGACTCAAAGCAACACGATTAAGCAGCCTTTGTTTAATGCATGGATTGCGGTCACAATTGAGCACATAAAATTACTTCATAAATTTCACCAGCACCTGCAGTCTCCGCCCCATGAGGTCCGTTTTGTGTGGGCATCAAAACGCCACGACGAAGATAAACTAACAATCGTGCAACTAATCAATTTGCACAAATACACAAAGGATAGCCTTTTCATTTCGTTACATGAAATGGTGACAATTAAAAGGCATCAACTTTAGCTTAGCTTCCATAAGAAGTGGAGAGGAAATGCCAGATGTGACGAAAATGAGAAAGGATGGAATATACTGAAAGGGTTCGATACGTGACCTTGGAGTGCAAACTAATCCCCAATTTCGATGCCACAAAGTGACTCAGGTGTGGGTTGCACGCACCAGGTTAGCACAGAAAATTGACAATCTAGCCACAAGCGTACACAACAGCGACTGAACTGGTAGGAGTATTAGGAGATATACAAACGTTCACTAACCAGAGTGAGAAATCACGATTGTTTGTCAACCAATTATTCATGAAAATAATGACGACTGGTAACTCGTTAGTCACAAAAAAGAAGAATTTGAGTCTCCATCAGCGGATGCACAAAGAGCAACGAATACGTGCGCTCGGGTAATTTAGGCTACTGCTTCGCCAAACTATGGATATTACTTGACCTTTGAATAATTACAAGACGGCGAAGATTTACAGAGATGTCACCTTAAAAGTGCAAGGCGAAGGCATGCTTTCGGAAGCCAAGGGCACAACCGGCATCAAGCCCACCTCTGCAGGAATAAGCGCACGGGTTAAAGGCGAAACAGTTGGGCCTGTGAAATGAAAACCTGATTCCCAAGCTTGAGATGTGAATTAGTGGACCGTCGAATTCGTAAAAGCAAAGATTGCAAAAACAGAATAAAAAGGCACAAACTTGAAAGAAGTTTGGGAGCATCGATTAAACTCTGGAGAAATCGCCATTGAATAAACGTTAAGTAGGTAAACAAACCAATGCAACCCAAAAAAACGGAAAATCAATTAGTAAGGAAGCAAACACGAATATTATATACCTTGTTGGCCCTGTTGTTGTTGTTGCTGCTGCAACTGCTGCTGCTGTTTCTTCGTTTCCATCAAATCAGCAGCTGTAGTAGTGGTGACCACGGCACCGAACGATGATGGGGGCAGTGCGCTCATTGAATGAAAGTAGGGAGAGGAGAGAGAAAGAGGTAATCAGTAAATCCACCGGGCTTCTTTTGGGCTCTCGAAGCTGCTACTGCTTCTGGGTTGGCGCTTAAAGGAGTAATCGGGCGTTTACGTGCGATCGTGCGTGTCGCCTCTGATTGTTTAGTAAGACTGTAAAAATGGATGAAAGAGAACCCTGATGATGGTTGAAAACAGTAACAACAGTGACGATGATTATGGTAACAACAATAACAACAACGAGGGTGGCGGTAACAGTAGTGGAGGGCATAATCAATGTATTTGTGCGTACCTGTATGCGCACACACTAGCACAATCACTTAACAAGCGAGCTAGCGCGCGCGCACTGGCTAGCACGCGATGCACGGCACGGCGCGTTTTTGTACTGTATCGTGCTGAACACACCCGCACACACATGGAGAAGTAGGAGCATATAAAGAATTGGACAATTTCGGGGTAAGGCAAAACAAAACTGCTATGGGTTGGAGGGTAGGGTGACGTAAGCTCTACACCGTGCATACATTTAGTAGTTTATCACGAGAGAGAAAAATATGACGAAATATGCAAAGATTAATAGCAATACAACAACAGTAGAGAGGAAGAGAGTGTGTTAGCCAGAAACCCGAAGGACTATGAAGAAGAGGTATTACAAAAAGGGGTTATAAAATAGCGCTTATTGCTGCTTCAAAAAAGTGCCGTGTGGCAAAGTTGAACATGGAACAAAACAACAACCTGATGCACTGACCATGTCCGTAGCATAAAAAGAATAAATACGTACAAGTAGCCCATGAAAACATTACCTGATAATGAGGTGAGCAATCAAATAATAGCATGAGACAAACGACAGACTATAGATAGAGTACGATCATAGCACCTTTGAGAACGATAAGAAATTCGACAAGCATGTGCCATATGCGTAACAAATATTCAAATAGAACCTCTCCAAAAGACCACACATGAAAAAATACAAACCGTGACAATAAAATTTCCCTTTTTAGGTGAAGTTCGGTGTCCAGCAAAATGTCAGAAACTATTCGGCAGTGACTCGAACGAAAAAATACAACAGAAAACAACGAATACTGACAGATAACTACGAATTAAAGGAACTGTACAAATAGAAACGTACAGAAAATAAAAGAAAATGACAAACTGCCATCATTGGCATCAATGAAGCCCGGATCGAATGGTATTTGGTTTACTCAAACAACAATGGCGCAAATTATTATTTTTTAGCAAAATGTGTTTAATGTTTATTGTATCCTTTTTGAGACATTATACTTATAATCTGCTACTTGAAGGCGGCTATGGATAGCACTATTACTTAAATTAATCTACTATCTCGTCCATTGTGCTAATCTAAGCTCAAAATTGTCAAGGTCTTTATGCAAAATCCATCTTCAATCGTTAGGTCTTCTTGGCATTGTGAAGTTAGCCAGCAATATCGGTTGTAATTTGTTATATGAGGGCTTATTTTAAAATGAAGGACATATTTAGCAACTATTTGTTACTTAAAATTTAATGTGCGGTATTCATATAGGGAGCCTCAGCATCATCACACTGCAAATTAGACAATAATCCAGATTGATGTGTTTTCTGGATACTCCACTGGCGTTGAGAAAGACGAGAAAATGCCCTCAAAGCGTTGGAGTTCAGTCTCACCACTCGGATTTCGTACATATAAAAGCACGTACAACAACTTGCTTGTCTCACTACGCGGGTGAGTGACCACCACCTCATTTCTATTAGGTAAGCTGGCGTTCGCAATAAACTCCAACTCCAATTCTCACCGTTCTGTGAGCACACGCACCCGACCATGCTCCCTACCACCTACTACGATATGAAAAGCCGCGAGACCTTACTGTGCATTCTTCTCAATATAAATTTATTTACTGTAGGGAACGATAGCATATCAAATGTACATTCAAGTGACGAGACAAAATTGCCATCACCCAATACAAACACTGATTTACATGTAAATATAATGCAAAACAAAGACGAGTTAACGGACACCCTCCGACTCATTACGCATCTTTTTAGCCTCACATAACCCAAATCGTATCGCTCTAGCATTTTTCCTCTTTTCTTCCTCGGACAATGTGCCACCAAATCGTTCCAGCCGCTTCCTCTTGCGCTCCAATTCCTCAGAATTCTCCGTGATTCCCACCTAAATTAAGGGCGCAGTAAAAACCATTGCTACTGACAAATTTTTAAGTAAAAGTAGCGGGTAACAGACAACTTACCTGCTTAGATCCATTTACTCCAAATCGCATTGCTCGTGCTTTCCATCTTTCTGAATCCGACTTGGGCACTGTCGCAACCGGTAGACCAAATCGTCTAGCTCTCTCCATTCGTTTCTCCCAATCTGCAGCATTTCCAAGTGGTCTTGGGGCTGAGACGGAGCTGGTAATACTTGCAGCACCATCATCACAGCCACCAAAACGCTGCTTGCGAAGAGCAATCCGCTGAAAGAAACAAAGATGATCGAAGAACAATCAACACACCTCCTCCTGCGTCATCTTGGAGACGTCGGTTCTCACAACGGGTGCGGCCGTTTTCTCTGAGCCATCTTCAGCAGGTGCCTCCCGTTGTAACTGTTGATCCTCAGTGGAGAGTGCAGTGGTTGGTGCAGCGACACCAACATCGTCCGCAGTAATATCATCTTCATCCAACAACTCAGCTTCCTCCTCCGGTTGAACTGTCACAACAGAATCCCCAGCTGACGTAAAACAAGAGAGCGTTAAGAGGTACCATACCTTCGTGAGCAAGAATGCGATCAACTAGTTCCTGCTTAGATCCCGAAACGGGGAGAGAAGATAGCACACAAAGCTTCTTCAGCTCTGCCAACTAGAGCGATAAGAAAAACAACATTCGTCATAGTAGGTAACGCAAAATACATTCCCAAATGGCATAGGCGTAAAAATTATGAAATTGTGTTACAGTAGAAAAGGACCATTAGAAGAGAATCGGTCAAACCAGGGACGATAGGAAAAGTAGGCAAACTATGAGAAGTAGCTCTTAGAATAAATTAGCTGTATACTAAAACATAGATACCTTGCATTAAAAATTCTAACTCCATAAAAGCACCCAATTATGAAAAATCAAATCAAACAGAACTATCTAAATCCTCCTCCCAACGAAAAGTAAAGTGTGTACACACATGAACCGTCTACAGACAAGTTAATGACCATCGGGAAAAGATATATAGCACGAGAAAGGACGCCAAGAGACAGCAAAAAGACTATAAGATTCTTCTCCAGGACTTTTCGATAACGAAATCGCAGGTACAGCAGGAAGAAATACCTTCAATTTCTTGAGTTCAGCCTGTGTTTTACCCGACATTTCAGGAAACCGAAGTAGACCCGACGAGAATTTCACGTATTGCGCGGGCGCACTTCTCGACGTTCTGATTGGAGGCATCTTGGGATCAACACATTATTTTGCATTTAAATTCTTTACATGCATACCCAAGACTTACGTAATGATTCTCAACGCAACTACATCAGAAGTTAAAAAAATAACTATATATGGATCAAAGCGTACAACTTAACATTGATCGTCATCTAGCTAATATGTTTTCATATCCCTTAAGGAAAAGTCGTTCTGCAAAATATTAATGCATTGTGTACGGTTTGATACTGTATAGCTTTATTTGAATTTACTTGCTACTCTGTGTTTTGTAATATTCTCAGAAAAAAGATGTCGTAAAAGTAGGCGTTGGTGTAATGTAGTGAACCAAGACTTCCTGTCAAGTAGAAGTCAGTAAAGTTAGTAAACACGTTAGTAAATGTGGGGTCTCGAGACTTCCCATGTAGTGGAAGAAGGCAGTGATTGAGACTGGATACATATATTACGAAGAGAACAGAGCAAATGTACCTGAGCATGGCCAGACAAATCCTCAAGTGACTGCCAAACGTCATTTGGTCACATATACAAAGTATTGCAGTAAATTAAATTGATCACATGCATTTCAGGCGGAGGCAAAAGAGATGTGCTTTGGCTTGGTCCGAGGGCCAGCCCTCTCACACAAGAACAAGTAGAATACAAAAGTAAGTGCCATATATACAGGCTGTAGCACACCAAGACTCTCTACTTCGTTGAAGAGAATATTAAGTTATGATGAATATATAGCGTTCCAAAACTTCCTGGCCAGTATAAGAAGTCAGTAAGTGCAGCTGGATACATGTATTTTGAAGACGACAGGGCAAATGGGCCCGGGTATGGCCCAAAGGCCAGCCCACGTGTACAAGGGCCAGACGGGTCCCTGGTCTGGTCGAAAAACCAGTCCTCATGAGCATGAGCTAGACGAATACACAAGTAATCGCCAGATCGTTAGGTCGTCACATAGAGCATTACACGGGTGGTTGCATAAGGCACGGCATGCATCATCCAAAAGCACCACGTCCAACTAAGTTTGGCTAAGTGCATATATTTTTAGACAGAAAACGTAGAAGCCCAAGTCCGAATGTAAGCCAATTTTTGAAGATTAGAAAGCCATCAATTTGGCTCCTATTAATGCAAGTAGACGAATGAGCAACTCATTGCAATTTCAGCGACCTGAGACTTTCCATTGAGTGGAAGAAGGCAGTAAATGGAGTCGAATACATGTATTCCAGATTGGACAATGGAACTATGTCTGAGGTTGGCCCGAAGACCGGCTCAAGCGTACAAGGGCTAGACAAATCTCAAAGTAACCGCCAAATATCAAGTGGTCAGATTAGCAAAGTATTACAACAATATGCTCATATGAATGCTCATATTTAGAGAGGAAGGATAGAGTCTCTATCCAAGGTAGCTGGCGCATTCCACTTCCATCACTGCAACCTCCACACGCTTCTCTATGAAAAGAAGGCATAGCGCTTTGACTGAATGCATAAAATCACACCAAGGGAAAGGACGTAGGGCTTTAGGCGTGATTCTCAAGCCAGCCCATCCGAATAGTGCAACATGGACACCCAAGTCTCCGACCGGCATGCACTGTCATCGCATTGAAGCAATGCAAGGCCACCAATCTAAATTGAGTGGAAGCGTGTGATAGTGGAGTTCATGAACCAAAGAGCTACACCGATGCTACTTCTCGGTCCTTGGGGCCTTCCACAGGGTTCAGGGGAATAGAGGATCCGTGCACACTAACCCGTCAACCAGGCAATCTGCGACACCGAAACGCCTTGGAAAATTCCACTGCATAATCCTTTCCATGATTCATGCTGCCGAACTCGCAATCTCTCATACTCCTACAATTATTCTGGGTGGGCGAAAGTTGTCCACCAACTTCCCATTTCGCCCAATTTGACTTCTGACCCTACAAAATAACTGTTTTTGGCCGTGGATCCAAGGGAAATAAAAATAAGAAGACGTCTCCACTAGAAATTGAATTTGAATCCACCCAAGTACAAAGAGGCATGGAGAAGAGGAAAAATTTCGAAAAAGTCCATCACAGGTCGCTTATGATTCATTTCTGCACGTCCATAGAGAGTTATTCTTTAGATTCCGGAGGAAACACAGGATCAAGATGTCGTTCGATGAAGAGGCTGTGAATACAAGCCAAACATCGGCACAAGGCCTCTACAAATCGCTCAACGTCCAACTGTAGCTGCCCCATGGCCTCCATCCCTTGCCATGGCTTCACATTCTGAGGAAGGTCCAACAGCACATTTTGAAGGCATTCAGCACTAGGCACGGCTTTAAGGATAACCTGAAATGAAATGCATACGCATGACCACCTAGAGACACTACTCAACCAAAAGGTATGGGAGAATAGGAAAAGACCCCACCGTAGCAGTTCCCCGCACAGACCAATCGTGAAAGGCTTGTAGAGACTTGGTGTAGGCCTTGGTTGCAATGGCGGAGACCAGAGCATTAGACGAGGGATTGGATTGAAAAACAGTTGTGCTGTCTTTGAAGAGGAGGTCAAGGAAGGTGGCTGTAAAATTGAGCGACCTGAAGTGAATAGAAGACGTGACCAAAAAGAAACGAAAAATTTGTGAAGATCTGAAAGAGATTTATCGTTCAGCTATCCACTTTATACCTCCATTTCATATGCCTGCCAAATCAAGTTTTGAGTTAAAAATGTTAATTTGCAATTAAAATATCCTTCGACAGTGCTGAGAACTACCTTGCAAGCCACAACAACGCCAGATACGCCGATCCCGAAGTTCGACATTGATTTGTCCGCATCTCAGCATTCACAATATCCGCTAACGACAGAGCTAACGACCGTTGTTTTGCCACCTCTTTCGATATTGTCCCTGTTTCAGCACCTTCCCCGGCATTGGCCAGCGTTTTTACTGCAAGTTCCAGACGTACAATGTCAGCCAACACGCCGGCATACACCGTCTGCAGGCTTCCCAGCTGACCAAGAATGACCGAAGTATCCGACTGTGAAGGAGAAGAGGAGGAGGTAGAACTGACGGCTGCAAGCGCAGGGAAGAAGGAAAGAGCACTGCGACAACAGGCAAGGAACTCCACCGCAGAGATTGAAGTGGTGGCAGCGGCTGAATAGGATAGAGCCAGATCCTCAAAGCTGGAGGTGGAAAATGGCGTCCAGATTATCAGGTTAAGGTGACAATTTATTAACCGAATCAGCCACCCGCTCTACTCAAGCATCCACTTATTCATTCAATCAACCATCTGTACTTTCGTCTATCTATTAGCTAGCGTCTTAAGCTTTACCGTACTTTAACCCTCCTCCACCCATCTAGCCGTACTCCCCTGTCTCTCAACCATATTTCCATCTTCACGGATGCCCTCACCAATTCACCCGACCCTCCATTCAATGCTCTCTTCAGCCATATCTCCAGCTCTTCAACAATCCATCAACCTCTCAATCACCTCCGTCATCAACTTGCCTGAACTCTAATTTGGAAAAAAAGGTGGGATAGGGACGCGACAATCTCAAGGCTCGCAAGTGATTGCTCAGGAGGGCAGTATTGGTTGAACTCTTTGTCGCAACTGTCGTAGCAATTTTTTCAATTATTTGCGTTGATCTTGGACTGATGTCACTGGAGGCAGAGAGGCGGGAGTAGTTAATCGCAGAAAATGCTCGATTTAAGCATCTACGCTCGCCTTACCTTGGGGCTGCTGTGACCCCAGAACCACTGGATGCATCATTTTGAAGACTCTGTGGCAATGCATATGATCGTCTATTACCCATTGGACTTCCATCGATGTTGCTAGCCGAGAGGACAGCCTTGGATCGACTCGAGTTCATCAAAAGGTTAATTAACTCATCTGCATTGGATAGCAGTGTGTCACAGGTGGCTTTCAATGATGACACGGCCTCAATCATTTCCTGTTAATAAACGTAGCTACTTACAAACAATTTTTGCAGTGAAGTAGACAAATAGAAGGTGCTAACCTGATTTTCATCAGCCTGTGACTTCAGCGCACTACAGACATCGGTGATTTGCTGAGCCAAAAGGTCACGATTTATGCGAAGCTCTGAACGCTTAGCCTCGATTGAACGTTCTATTTGCTCTGAAGAAAAGGCACGACTTAAAGGGAGGCATCAATAGTGCAGCACACGAGAACAAAACAGCTCGGTGGCTTTAATACCCATTACTGATCGGTTAGATGCTAGTCATCGTTCCCTACTCGTATCCCACACACCCAGAGGGAGGCAAAGGCATCCATATCGAAGCCTTTAGCATCCAATTACATGTGCTGAAACCTCAACAAGAAACAGGCGCAAGCACGCACAGGAGTCGGGTTTGCACACCTGCACACAGGAGAAGAGACCAAGCATGTGTAATGCGATGGAAATTTTATGCAAAGTTTATGCAACAAACACACACACACACACACGCCTGTGTTCGCGACAAGGTCACTAGAGTGGTACGTGCACACCCTTTGGCGGCAACGAGTGACATGGAAAGCAATTGTGCAATCCACCTGCCATCTCATTCTCCAAACCACCAGACTACTGGAAATGATTCAACTAGTCGGAGAAACTGGGAATGTCACAATTTGGATGGCAAATAATCGTAGCAGACAAGAGAGGAGGTTTGCTTCAATTTGCATGTAAAAAAATAAAAAGATGAGGGTAGGAAAAATGTTTACAAAGACAGTGTTGAAGAGATCGGGTAGCTTTTCAGCTTTAATAGTGAATGAGTGGAAATGAAAGACGCTGGTACACATAAGAATTTAGGTAAGTTCGTCTACTGACAGAATGGTGCAACAAATCAAACTTGCTCACTTTTACCCTCAATTTACACATCAAGGGCAGACACTTCATTGGAAAAAAGGAAAAAGCAAAAACAAAGTGATAAATGATGACTGGTTTTTGCAAGACGGAGGCGGTTATGACAAGATTGTGGGAGATTACCATATCTGATATGTGGGTGTGCAAGAAAAAAGTGAGGGAAACATTCAACCTTCGTCGAATAATCAGCTCCGAGGCAGAACCATTAAACGTGAACAAACACGAGACATTACTGTAATCGGATAGAAGAGGAGTAAAGAGATAAGATGAGGAGGGAGAAGTCAATCAAGGAGGTGAACAACTCACGCATCTTTTCCACCTCATCCACGTTTGTTATACCCGCCTTGCAACTTCCCAAAGCAATGATCCACCGCTGCCTTTCAGTCGGGGTCGCCGCCTTGAGAAAGAAACGTTGCTCTCCCGGAATGAGAATTTCAAAACGACAAGCATCGGTCGGATGCACTACGAAAAAAGAAGAGAACTACCCACTAACATCCGCCTATTGGTCACAACAGCATACTACATCTTGGTTGGCTGCCAGGCAGATAAACGCGTCTATTTAAAACAAAGTGAGCTCTTTGGTTGGACGACAATCCCCGGTAGGATCCGCATTATTTTTAACGACAACACATGCAATCGGAAACTGCACTGAAAGGCGTCCAAAAAGTTAATTCGTCGCAGCAAACGATCAAAGCTGACCTTTAGAAATAACATTCCAATCTCAAGCTTTAAGCGTGTCCACCTTTGCATAAAGTGCTCACACAGATACAGAGATGCATGGGAACGTTAGAAGCGATCAAAACACTTTCCTCAAAGTTACTTTAGCGGGGATGCTTTGATGAATGAAGACTGATGTGCAGAACGGCCGCTTAGCGGAACACTTTTCATTACTACAAGGTGCCTCCCCTATGAAGAGGTTAACGGAGAGCTATAACAGAACAATCCCGGAGTTAGTGGTGACTGATAAACCAGGAGTACATTACAGAAAGCAAACGGACATTGTTAGGCCAGCCGCAATTTCTGATAGGTTCCATGCAATCTATGATATCGAATTTCCATGTCTTTATCCGTAAAATTCGGCAGGTGCTTTCTTCCTCTTAGAAAAGGAGCGATTCAGCAAGGCATAGCTGAAAGTACCAGGAGAGAATATCTAGTAAGGTGGGCGAAATGTCCACAGAAGACGTCTTCATAAAAAAATTATCTATCAAATTTATAAAATGTAACTGTTTTAAAAGCTAGTGAGATGCACCAGAAAGGACAAGCATAGCTACGCCTCACCTACTGCTTGTTATATTTGTGGCTGACAGTGTAAATTCTCAGAAAACATTCACTCATGACAAAACCCAGCAAACCGTTAAGAAAACGGCCTAATTTTTAAGCGTAGTAAATAGGCGAGGAGAAAAAAGTCAAATGTGAAATTGAAGAAAATCTGTTTTAAGCGATTCGGTAAGGGTAACAAAATGCGACAAACATTCAAAGCATAAGTATGTAAAGCGCAATGATGAAGGTCTTTCGATGGGACCAAATTTATCCGGATCTCTTTGAGATTGCTGTTACGTAAGAAGTTCGCGCAAAAAGGACCAAGAAAAAGACCATCAATTTAAAAAAGCGCAAAACACCACTATGACTCCAACACGAATCCTGAAAGGTTTCAACAAAATTTGTAAACATTTCACGGGACTTGTTAATGTCCAGCATGGAAAAACTATCAGTCAATATATAGGGGCGGAAGAAAGTGAATATGGAATTCAAGAGGGCAACAGAAATTCAAGAGTAGACATACCGACTACTTCGCAAGCTGATACTTTGAGAGCACCCTTGCAGCCGGTATCAATGTCCATCTCTGATGTATAGTAGGAGAGAATCCCATCACGTAGAGTGAAATACCTTTGCTGCCATCCGTTAATGTAATTCGTCCATTTAAATAATATTCCTTCCATTTACTGACAAACAGTAAACGAAAAAAAGCAGATCACAATTACTCAACGAAATTACGGAGTTAGCACATGAACTCATATATTGTGGACAAATAAATTATCTCCAGATGTTAACCCTAATTATTAAAGTTAAAGGTGTAAAATGACAGCAAGGAACGTATGGGATGTCAACAACACTGCGTTACTTTAGTCGAGAGCCATTGTAAACGCCAAAGGATAAAAAACTTATCAGTAGAAGATTAAAAGTGGAGGTAACCGCAAAATGGGTAAATAGGTTAACCCATACAATAGCGTATACGCGAAGAAAGTGATTAGTTAATTTAAAATTGCTACCACTTGAAACACAAAAGCATGTGCCTTTGTTAAACACCTACAAAATTATATTTACAAAAAGCTTGTAATAATCTTGTGCTTTCACAATTATCAGCACTATTAACGTTTCTATGAATAATCTTAATCATACAAAATACCACTGAAAGGAATACTGGCGTGAAATATTTTAGCATCGTGCATATGGCTGATCATCAAAAATTCCGAGCACTTTTTCGCTTATCACCTACTTGAGTCCACAGCATAGCATACTAGCACCGATTTTTTAAATTGCGCAACTCTAGAGGAATGCGACGTCTAAAGGGAAATGGGTGTATCTTCTGTGGCGTCCCGGATACGTTTACTCCGAAGGAAACAGCACGACTAGGCCTGGGCGAAGGTCAACCTATACGAAAAAGGGCCTGAAAAATCTTAAAGGGACCGCTTAACGTCAGGTGGCCGCATAAGCAAAGCATTGTATTTTCCATCTTTCTATCATGGTGATTTACTTCAGCCGGTTATGAATAGGACAAGTACCTAACTCTACTGCGAAGAAGAGCTTGTGCACACATGCAGCACAGGTCTATTCAATATTGTCACCTCAGCCCATTGAGGACAACTGTATTACATCGATAAAATGAGAGAACATAACTTCAGGGCCAGTACTCTATAATTCCTATCTCTTATGCTACTTAGACCACTATTCCCTGCATACTTAAGGAAAACGTTTTAAAATCCGTCTGCAAGATGCACCATTAGCCTTAGCCAAAGGGCAAGGACCTGCAGCACTACCTTTCCGAGAGGAATACCCACCCTTATCCCATACCCGGAGCATTAGTCACCCCGATGAGTACCGCACCGGGACTGGACAAGAAACTCACTAGGTTGCCACATATTTAACTGATGCTCATCTGAGGAATTTGGCGCCATAAATCCGACTATTCCACCATAGGAAATCCTCGACGTACGACTTAATTGGAAAACCTTAAAAATATACCACCAGTGACAGTTACTAGTTTCTTCATCCACACACTGCCGCTGAATTTGTATAAAACTGAACTGTAGTTTAACCCGTCCAGCATTTTATTCATAAGTCAAACCAATTTATACAATTAATTTGTCACAGACGCACTATAAGTACTACTGAGAGCATCACTGTCAGCGTCTGTCATTGTCCCCACGCAGGTCTCATCACAATCAGAGCGCGGCTCATCAAATAACCCAACTTGCGATGAGTCCTTCCCTTTCACTTTTCTTGGAGAAGGTAGTGCGACATACTGGACGTAGGTTGTCGACTTCTCCATCTCTGACTCGGAATCTATAGCATTCAATGTCAAATTTCACTCACGCATTCAATTCTTGATAAGCGTGGGCATTGTTGAGCTTTAGTGATTTTTTGTCTCTCAACCAAATTAAATATGCAGTTTGACGTGCTTAACACTTTGAAATAGTTAATATAAGGAAAATGCATGGCAGTAAATGGCATATTCTCGTGACCCTCATAAAGTTCCTTACTTGACCGCATGAGTATCTTTGGGAGGCTTAAACCAATTACATCGGCAACACTTTAATCCATACTTACTATTGCGATAGAACAAAATTACTCAAGCATACATTACTTTAAAAAAAACGAGTGCACAAATTGTCAAGCACGTAATATTATGAGTGTGTGGAATTTTGCATTGTCTTATAACATTGTTACTACTATCAAACCAATTTCAACCAGAGCTTATCGTCTCGTAGCAAATAAAATCCACTTGCCTCTGTCTAGTGTTATATGTTAAAAGTGAAACAATGAACTGGCTACTTGACTGTGTTTTAGGTGATTTAAAAATGCAAGACCACTGCATCTGTAGGGCACCAACAGACTCCCAGACTACGCCAACGACGTCGGCTTCTGACCTCCTGCCAAAAATGCACCAATTCTCTCCCGATATTTTGCTTCACTTCGTTTTCGCCGAGCCTTGAATCGCATGCTCAATCACGCAACTCTCTACATCACAAAATATTGTGTCCTCAAATCACGCTAGCTGCCTATGTTACGTGAATAGTTTGTTACTTCATTCTAGCCTACTTGAGTAAATTTCCACCAAATATAATCTGCAACACATACTGAATTCACAACCTCTGCTCTTCCGAACACCCATCGATTCGGGTTGCGTAGTATCGGGAGCACAATCACTGCACCACCTTCGAACCGTCGACTCCAAATCTCTCAAATACTTTGCATAGCCTTCATAAAACTTGCACGAAGTCTGAATCGACGCCTGACTGCATGGATGGCGACTCGCTGGGTTAGAGAACATGACGCCTTGGTCGCGGCGACATCGTCTTGGCTAGTGAAGTGAAGCAAGACGACTGAAATTAGGCTCGAAAGCAATCCACTATCTGATAAGATATTCAGAACTTCAAGCATTACCTCGATAAATGATGAATAGGAAGGAGTGAAGGTGGCCGAACGACTGAGGGTGACGGACGGCTTGTGCTTCGCATTCTGAAGGGAAGGAGAGAATTTTCTGTGTTGGAATGGAAGCAAGGTATTTTTCGAAAACCTTAACCAAGTAATTTCAGGTCAAGACTGCTTCTAAGAAGTACCTCAGACTCATTCAATGTGGTATTTGGAAGCAAAGCATCGACGTGAGCCTAAAATGCAAATATGTGAGTTAGAAGAATGATTGTGAGGTTTGCCTATGACAGTGGAGAACGTTGACAGCGATTAAAGTACCTTGTGGATGTCCGGTTTAAATGCGTCCATCGACGACTAAAATGAATCAAAAAGGCAACTTTGCTCCACTTTGCACACTAGCAAAAGTTTTTGCGATCCATGCTACCCTATGGCATTATCATCCCCTAGTTTTGGGGTTTGAGACGTTCTGCCCACCTTTTCCTTCAACACTGCCTACCTGATGTTGCTGCGAAGCTACTTGAGTGTGTATGCAACTGCTCGACTCACCCACTGGGTTTTGAGGAGACGAAATTCATCCAAAAGTGACAATCTTGATGGTTTGACAGGTGCAACCACTGGAATTAGCTGTATGGACATCCGCTCTAGAGAGGTCTGCATCTCTGCTGCCTCGCCTGCTTCCTTCGATGATCTCAAATAGGACAATTTCTCGTCCGCATCCCACTTAAGTTAGAAAAGCATAACAGCTTATTGGATGGGTATATTAAGGCGGTGTAAAGTGCTTAGACACCAACTCACCTCCTCTGTAATTAACCTTTCCGGGATGGAATCACACCCGCTTAAATGTGCCTCGTTGGTCTGCGATACCTGCAGTGTTCAACACATAGTAAAGCACTGTCAGCCAAGGATCGTGTGACTGTTCCCAATGTTATACATTGCGTTTTATTAGACTAATCTGTAAGTAAAATTGAAATAAGTGAAGGTCCCAAGAGCGTGAAAAGGAGAACGCAGTGTACCTAGTACCCTTCCAGACGATGATGAACTCACAACTTAAATCTTTTTGGTTCCACGCCTCCTACATCAGTACCCAGTGCTCTCCAATAATAAGACATCTTGACACTCACCGACGTTGATTCTTGTGTTGAAACGATTTCAGTTATCTCATCCTTGACAGCTTCTTTTGTTTCACACTACAAGCGAATGGTGGCTGGAGAGGATCTGTTATAAACAGGGCAAAATGTAACAGAATGAACAAGTTCTTACGCAATATTTGATTGGTCTCTCCAGGGTTGCAGATAAAGAAGCATCTGCAGTGTCCTTTTCGAGAAAATTGAACAATCGTTCTCGTAGCTTCTGCAAGAATTAAATGAAACACGCTTGATACTCTAACGCCGACAGCAAAGGCCATGTTTTAGAGGAAGCAATTAGAAAATGACAAAACTTTGTGAGCATGTCTAACCATTTATAGAAATCCAAAATGTAATCTTAAAGAGTCTGCAAAAACTTGCTAAATTGTTCAAGTGAACTTCGGAGGGCGACAAAGCATGGACTCGACCGCCTCCCCTTGTCGACCCTGACTCCTCATCCTGTCGCGCAATCTTCAAGCAAAAGAGAAAGTAGAACTTCTAAAGAAATGAGGCTTGAGTTTTCGCATTGTAAGAGAAAGATGGCTCTCAGTTTATAGAAAAAACTTTTCTAATCTGACCGGTAAAACTGCTAGCGACTCCTGTACAATGAACAGAGAAACAATTTTAAATGTTTTGCAAAACGCCATCGATAGAGGAAGATGTTTTAGGTACTGGCAGATATAGCCATTTGCTGGAATGATGGAACATGTATGCCCCATATGTTGGCACAGTAAACTTACTTTACTCCAAAGATATGCCTCAAAATTTCGAGTTAAAATCGAACCTCTTAGTTTATTAAGCTGCTTAGAGTGTAGATAAGACAACGTGAGAACTAAACCTACCTTCTGGAGAGCACCGACCCCAGTCGCGTATGTATTAGCCGGGGTAGGCCTTGACGAAAGGCACGTCTGAGGGTCGGTTGGCTAAAACAAAAGAATTAAGGCCATCTTACAATTGTTCTTTATAATAAAATAGTAATTAATGATTGTGTTGTAAGAAATCAAATCGTGCATTTTAGCGTAAAGCTATGATAGAGTCTACTGATGGATGACGATTATTCGGGCAATCAATGATTCCCGATTGTTTAGTTTCCGATAAATTAGGAACCTACCTAAAGAATTGCTTACTAATCACTATTGTATGAACATGAAAATGTAACTGTGATGAGGGGTTGCCAGTGATTTATGTTTTTCCCCTGAAATAAGCCAATACGTACTTTACTTTATTGCATAATATGTCCGCTCATCTAGCCTTCGTAGAAAAATAAAGGTTAAATCCCTTCACTTAAAACATCCATTTTTCGGTATGGTGAGTACTCTCAAAGTTCGATAAAAGTACAACACCACAAAGTATAACCCCTCCTTTGGATAGGAACTAGCGCTTCACAAGCAAGCAAGCGGTAGTGCACTCTCGTAGATGTTAGTTTGTCATTGTCCCCACCATTTTTTATGCAAATTAGCCTGTATGATAAGCAAACGCTCTCTAATCGTACAAATCTAATTATTACTGAGTTGAAAATGGATAGGCTTGCAAATCTTTACTGTGCTTACTTGGCTAGTTGCAGTGGCGGTGTCGCCATCGCTGTCCAGATGCACATCTCTTCGCCTTTCTTTTCTGCTAGACGATGTCTCCGTTTGTTTCTGCACCACTGACCCTTTCAGTGTCTAGTTAGCAAATTATTACGCAAGTAAATGAGCTGCCAGGAAACAAGGAAAACGTTTTAGACTTCGGTACTCCATACCATGACTGCTCTTTTAAATTACTTAACCTTTCCTTCCCCTTTAACCCTTTCATTAGTAAGTGTCGTATGAACAAACTGCATCAACGTGGCTTGAGATGGTTTGCTTTACTGTTTGGTTAGTTACTGGACTTGGACTTTCAGATACTCCTCATCGAAGATACTGCACGCCATTTGTAAGTATCCTGCAGTGCAACATGTCTGAGGCCACATCTAGGTGGCATTAATTCTTGTTTGCTTTTGACAACCGTAAATGTACTTGCATTCTCGACACACCTTTTTCAGATGGCTTGAAGTGAAAATTCGAGTTCCACCAAAGTTTGTACTAATTGCTTATGCTTTTACAGCCGCCGTCGTCCCACTCTGACTATTCGTTTATTCTTAAGTTGCTAAGACAGGCACAATGGCAGCCAAGGGTCTTCAGACGAAAGTCCACCTGTCGCATATTTTATACGCGCTGCAGTTTATGGGTTAGAGGCAACAAAAATTTGATGTCGGAAGTTCTCAAAGTCCACGTGAAATTCAATGAATTGCGGGTACAGGCCTCCCTCATTTTGGTAGACAAAGGATTGCCATCGGAACGAGACATTCGTCTGATGACCTCATCAGATGCACACTCTCACGTATGCACGTAAACAGTCGACCGTCGGCCAAAAAATAAATGCCCAATTGAGCAACTCAGAGTGGCGCGCTGGGTCATGTGCCAACAAATGTGCCCAGGAATCTCTGTACCTTTGAAGGTATAGGAGACCCAGATTGTGTAATATTGGCCACTCATGTTACCTTTCAAACGGCAACCAACAACATGAGGGTGAGTTTATACCCAAAACAGGAAGAGTTATCGTACTGCCTAGCCTACAAACAACGGTAATGAGTTCGACAGGAGCTCCATAAATTACAAGCCAAAGAAGCCGAGGATTATAGTTATTATGGGTGCCAGTTTTATAGTCGGGACTTACGGAATCTGCTGCATCATCGTGTAAGCGTTCTCGGCTATCGGATACGGGAATATGTAGTGACGGACGTCTTGCACTACCATCAGTGGTCGCTTCATTATTCGGTTGTAAGGTGGATCGTGGGAGATGCACCGAAGTTCGTTGTGATCGCTGCATGTAGCGTAACGCTGGTGACATTTGTATACCAATGGAATGAGGGATGGACCATCGCTGATGGCTTGAATTGGTGTACATTCGGTTCAGTGGTTTAGGCTGGTAAATCTGTAAAGCAGGCGATCAAAATGAATCATTTGGTGCATTAAATAGTCCATTTGAACTGATTTTCCAGTTAGTTTGTCTTCTTAGCGATCCGTGTCCAAAATCGCAGAGCTGTTCAGCCAAATTCGACCCCCAAATTACAGTATGAGCACAAATGCCACGTAGAGCAGTACAGATGGGTGGCACAGGAACATTTTATGTTCGACTTAATTTATTCCTAATGGGACGTAGCATGGGTTCGCAGGCAGGTGAAAAAAACATACCATCTATATAAGGCAACAAATTTGCAGTTGCCTACCTGATCTACCTCCCAACTCATTCCAATAACATACATAAAGGAGTCTACTCATAATAATTAAGTAGAGCTGTCTCTACCAAGCACATTTAGGGGAGGAGATTTAATTCGCAGTAATCATCGCCATTACCAGCCTCTTTCCATGACGTAAAAGCTCGACGCGAATCCATCAACACAAAATTTTAAACAAAATCCTCAAGCTCGGAGACAGATTAATAGCCAGTCATGAGCTTCCTTGTGAACTAGAGCGGCATCGAATGAGCAAAATCATGTAACCGCCTAATTAGTACTTGTATTTTTTTGAAAAGGGATAGCATTCTCAACGCATCTGTCATTTTGTGGTAAATGAATACCAAAAACAGTGGTTGTTTGGCGTTGAGCGGGTAGGCGACCGCGACCTCCACGACATCCTTTGACCATGCAACACAGGGTGGAAGCAGATTTAAAGTTACTCATCGTTATCTTACAAATTCAATCTGGCATCTTTGTGCCAATTCCCCAATGCTGATGAGTTCAACAATGAAGCCGCAGTTAAAGGCTGTAAATAACCTTACAGGAAGTGTTTGGAGTCTCTACCTTGAATCGCTATGTGGAGAAGCAACTAAGCAGATCGCAACCAACAGAGTGTGCCTAAAAAGCCCTTTTAGATTGTGATTTTATTAACCTACCAGATGAGAGGCTCTTTTCATTGAAGGCTGAGGTGTACAAACTTGGTGATTTGAGTCTTTTTCTAGTACGATTATCTCCGCTGCCTGCGTCACAGGCGGCATCACCAAAGGCAGCGTGGGAGTCGCCTCGATCCGTGGATGTGATAGCGACTCAGAGCCGACACTGACCGATTCCATCGCAGCAATCTGAGCAGCCTTGGCTTCAAACACGGCCACCAAATCAGAGACAGAACAAGTGGCATACCCATCCTCATCCTAGGAGTAGAATTAATTTCACCAACAGCTCAAAGAAACTTACATCGGTTTCTTGAGCGCGTTTCCCATCCATGCTTGAATTCACATCCACGCTACAAAGTGGGAAGGCAAGATGCCAAAATCAAAATGCATAATTGCAAATGAAAAGCATACACAGCGTTATGAATTCAAAAATGCCGTCTTGGTTAAATCTTTGCCATTCACCGTCTTATACAAACTGCGGCAAGGGACTAATTGACTTGAATTAAACTTCTTACCTTGTCCTTTTGCGGTTAAAAGCAGATGTTACATAAAGTATTTCATCATCAGACTGTTCTCTCTTATCGGAATATCCGTTCGCGTCATTTTCTTTCATTTTCTGAACCAAAGAAACAAAGTAACGCCAAATTCAACATACTACTTAAGCCAGATCAGCGGAATTAAGTAGCACGTTTTTGAGTGAAAGTACAAATTTGACAATCAATAGTAAATAACATTAAGAGCACTTTTAAAGCATCTGCGAAAGCTATTTTTTTTGGAATGTTTATACTTTAGCCGTTTTGAAGTGAAGTCACACCGCACACCCGCAGTTGAGTGTCTTACCGAACTCGCAGAATTTTTCTCCAACATTCGGTTTAATCGATCATGAACAACCTCCGGAATCGCCTTCCAACTATCCCAGATCCGTTTTGCCCTTGGTTTCGGGGGAATGGATGGGGGTTTTTGCAGACTTTCTTCTGCTTTACTGAAAACGCTGTGAGTAGTATTTTGACAGAGGTGGTTCTTATTTGTTTTATCGTGCATATTGGCAAGACACTGATCAAACATCACTCGATTGATGTATTTGCAACAATCTGGGTGGTGTTGTGCAGACGAGGACATAATTCTTGGCCTTTTCAATACTCCAACAACTTCGTGTTCGCAAAATTTGGAACCGTGAATGGCGACCAAGCCTCTCTCTTTTACAGTTTCAGTTTCCTCGACTTCCCCTTCCTCGTCATCATTATCACACTCCTGTAGTCGAATACTGAGTGGTTCTATCAGTGGTGCTGATAATTTCCTGCGCGCGTGTCCATTACTCAAGCTAAAAGGACCACCAAAATCCTGTTGGCAAAGGTTGGTTGAGAAAAGGCTACTTCGCCGTCGGCTGCCGGTGGATAGAACCACTGCAGTGTCTGGCTGAAAGAGGCGAAAACAGCGACCAATTTCCTGGGATTTGGAATCCAGGTACTCCTGTTTCATCCAGCCTACGGAATGAGAATAAAGGAATGCCTATCATTTTCGTTTGTGAGATGATGTTGATGCATTTCAACTGCATTAACTACCCCCTTTTCCCCAAGCTCCTTCACGCACTACTTTGTTATGAATAAAGTCGTTTACTCACAAATGTCGCGATAGGGATGCGGACTTTGAAACTGACCAACTATGTCCATTCTTTGATTTTCATATTTATACACTTGAATCCCGTTGTCACCCTGGAAGACAATTTGTTACACATCGTCATGAATAACGCTTACCCGACCAGAAAGAAACAAAAACCGGTTGCCTTGGTAATAATTCATAATGACGCTACCCGATGATTGGTTGCAACGAATGCGATCGACAGGGCTGGATGGGTTTTTCTGTTTGCAAAAATGAGGGAAATGAAACTCTTTGAGTGATTAATATGTCACCGCCCATATTGTTTAAGGAATTATTTTAGCCCTTGTTTTTACGTGTTGGAGTCAATGAGTAGTTTGCATGAGCTAGATCTAAAAGCATTTTGATTTTGGAAGCCTCAGCTAGTCACGATCGGTAATGGCTAATAAGGTATAGGCTATTTTACAACGTTTACTCCTTGAACTGGGTGGCCTTATATTTACAGTAGAAATGATTATAAAAGCATTCCTATGGAAATACGCTAAAATAGAAAATGGAGGCATCGTCAAAACAGCTAAAATTGTACTTAATGACTATTAAACCTCACCAGGTCCCAAGTAGCTAGCTCTTTGCTACCCTCCTGTCCAAATCCCACAGTCACCAAGGTGGAATCGTCCAAGAAGGCGGTTTTCCATGGTTTCGATCCTTGGTGGCAGATCATTGAAACAACTGGCTTTTTCTCCCCGTGTTCTGCGTCGAAAATGCAAAGTTTTTTGTCTCTGGATGCTACAGCTATGCATCCATTGGAAGACCAACAGACACAATGGCTCCCAGAACTGCCCATATGCACGCTCTGCACCTTACCGCTCTCAACGTTCCAAACGAGAACCTTAAAGATACATTAAAATGTAATGCTTACTAACAATATTTTAGTAACACCACAAAACTCTGCTTTCGAGCTTACGTACGGGGTAGATATGGGGCAAATACAGGGGAGACTCCGAAGCAGTGATTTGGAGTGTTTGCATGATCTGTAATGCTCTGACTCTTGTGTATGGAGGGATTGTTTATGGACGGCGCTCGCAATTCATTTTCAACAGATGGGTTAACGATGTATAAACGAAATTATCCTACCGCATAGCGTAGTTCTTTCATGCATTGGATCCTTGAATGTCGACGCATTTGTACGGCCGCTAGATATAAAGCTCCGTCTTTTCCTTCTCTACCGAAGGACTATTCAAATATTACTTAACAAACCGTGAATAACGTGGTTAGAAGAAGGTGATTTACATTGTGTGGGAGACTCACATAACAGTGGATCAGTTATATGTGAGAACGATTGCACCTCATTTTATGGCATCCTTAATAGTGTTTCAGTGACTCAACTTAGCTAACAATTTATTTGGGAAATGTAAAACTGATGTCAAGTGATATGCTAAGAGTGGTCCCCTTTGGCAAAGTAAAGAGCCAAGAATGACCTACTTTTTTACCATAGAGAGCGGTAGCTACGACACCACCTTCTGTTGGACACCAAGCGACACTGACAACGCGATCTTTGTGATCCAAAGTTTTACTATGCATTAGCATAGACGCATTGCCTTGACTCTGAACTCGCCACAATTTAACCTATTAAAAAAAACGAATTTACGATGTTAAACAAATAGAACGATGGTGATGGCAATTCTTTTTACGAATGTGATAAAAATCCACGCCAAAATGGCTCTACATTAAGTAGACTTGGAAAGATGAGAAGTGAGTCGCCTTGTGGCGTCTGGTTGACAGTGATTCGGGCCCAATTTTAGACATGACTTGTTTCTTCCTGACGGATGGCAATTACAGGGAATGGAGGCTTTTGACGGATCCGCTGGCCAATCACTGCGGTGTCAAGGCGTGTAATCGCACGCCAATTGACAGACAGGTCAACATTTTCAGTTGTCATGTTGTGTGCCGCCTGGTGGAAAGTGCCAACACACCCCTAGTCTCATTTTTCTCACAACAGGACCAAAGTGACAAATACATGTTCCAAATCAAGGAACATGTGTTCCTTGATTCTTCATTAAAATAATGACAACTTACCGTTCTGTCAAGGGAGGAAGTGGCGAGAACATCACCACGCCACTCCAAATCAGTCACCGAATTTGAATGGCACTGAGTTCGATGGTACATATCGCTTTCATACCGACCGGGCTTAAAGAAATGACAAAACAAGCGAACTTACAACCCCCTTAGGCTTGGTAATAAAATACACACGAAATTTTTCAAATCCTAGAAAAAGGAGAGACAAATAGGGTCTGAAAGACCTTAAAAAGGACTCCAAATTACAAAGCCGTATCGTTCTTATGTCTCCGCATTCCTTCAAGCTTTGCCGTCAAACTCGGGGTGAGCACTCGCCATGCGCACAAAACACCACCCTTGTGGGATTAAACAATGCCCACTTGAAGGTGTCAAGTGGACACTTTATCACTCCACCGCAGTGGACAGAGTGTGCCGTCGGATGGTGACGAATAAAAAGTCTCTTAAATTGGACAGAACGACGGTTGAAAAGTTGGACTCTTTCTTCCAAGGGCTTTCATCATCCCCAGTTTGGTTTGCAGTGTTGATCAACGCCTTGCAACTCTATAGACAGCGCTTTTTCCTTAAACATGTTTGGCAACGCACTTAAAACTTAAAGTCATATTGGGACGGTCTGTTGCGGTGCTAAACTCGCGTCCGTCGGTGGGTGATCCTCACAGAATAGCATGAGGATGCACTTCCGACTGAGGCAACGATGCTGTTCCTACCCAACGACCCTCAACCACCATCGTCCCCTTCTGTTGGCTTTTTTTTCGTATATTTTAATTGTTTTAGCTACTTTTGATGCCACTGACCTCCTCCATTCCCGCGTTTAAAGCAAAAGTGGTAGGACATGCAAGTGATCAACGTTCAGGTTTCTTGACGAGGTCAACACGGGGTCACCGTCGCTATTGCTCACAGCGACTCAGAGTTGCGCAGTTCCCACGCAAACAGCAAGCAAAATGCGTCAAATAGTTTCTCTCCTCTCGGGGTGGAACTGATTTAACGCAAGGCTGAGGTCTCTTTGATCGCTTGTCATGATTTTAAGCATTTTAAATTAATTTAAAATAATTTTTACCTCAGTAGGCACATTTACTCTGTCGAATGGATGAAAAAGGAGTCAATCAAAGATTGTTTGCTAAGCTCTGATGAGATACTACGGGAGGAGGAGCAAAAAACTTCCACGAAACGCTGTGCTAGATATCGTGCTTTGGATAAAAACTGATCGTCCAGATATGCACCACTAGAATGCACTCTAAATTCAGCCCTTTTCAAAGCGAATCCAAATTCTTCAAGCATTACGCCGTCCTCCCCGTGCAAAGTCACATATCTTGAGGCCAAATTGCATCATCATGGAGATTTGCATTAAGGGATAAGCAAGTAAATTAACGCCTTTGTCTCTTGCATCCGTGTTCGCTGCTTTATATTGTTGTCTCCTTAACACCGCCAACAGACAATCACATGACTTGATGTGAATGCAACTGTAGGCAATAATGTATTTAACTGGAATTGCCTGAACATTTGCAGACCTACAAACATGTTTTAGAAAAGAGCTGAATAGAATGCAGTCCAAAGGGGTGCCCAAAGTGCAGCCTTGATGAGGTAATTGAACTTAATTTAGACGCACACATTGTAAAGAAAAGAGATTGAAATCCTTCACATTCGTCTCAAAGAAAGGTGACTTGACAGCGGAGAAAAGCCTTAACAAACGTCAGTGGGAAAATTTTTCCTTAATCTTTACTATAAATCGGATTCGTAATAACACTGACGACAAAATTATAAGTACGCGCATATTTGTTCAAAAAAGATTCTAGTGTGCACATGGAATGGAGGCATAGACTCTACAACTGCTTATCACTCAGCAACATAAGCTTGCTTGAATTTTGTGCACTCAGCAAAAAGGTTTTGTCAAAAATTTAAGTTTAAATTTTGTGATAATTTTCGACAGTTTGGTTGAGCTACTGATAAAGCAAAAGATGAAATAAATTGTGACCAAAACATTTGCAAAAAATTTTTCAACTCCTCACGCTATAGGAAAAAATTTGAAACTGCATGTGGTAAATCTCATAAGTTTGAAGGGAAAAATTGGGCATTCACATGTTTTCGTGTGCATCAACGTAGTCTGAAGAAAGAACTTACTCTAGAAAGATCAAGAAGAGCCACAGATCCACCAGCGTTAAAGCCAGTGGCTACGGAAAGAAAGTATGCTGAACAGGCAGCGAGGTGACCATAATGAATAGCATTAGATATTGGGATGCCCTCGAAACCATCTGCTGCTCCAGCAGGAAACCATAGGGGGTTCGTGGTGTGTAACAGAGGTGAGGGCATTTTTACGACAAAGTCTTGAGAAAATATTGCAAATTCCTCTTAACTATAATATTAAAAGAATTCTGTCAATAGAACACAAATTTTGATAAAAGCAAAGTTTGATAAGAGCTAAATTACAAAGTGTCATTGTTGCGAAAGAAACTAAGCGAAGCCTATCTAAATCAAAGGGTAAATTCTAAACCCAAAAGTTGCTAACCTTGAACACTGTCTAAAGAATATTTTTAAAACCGTGCGCTTACTGACCTTAAAATGTGCATTTGTCGACCATATAAACTAATATAGTCTGCAGCAAAACTTTTTAAATTAAAGTCTTAAAGGTAATGTTCCCCATAAAGCTCTTTATGTATAATTTTTAGTGAAAAGTTAGCGACATCAGTAATTTACGAACCATTAATGTCAAGTTAATTAAATCCTACCTAATCAGTTTAGTCTTGCTACATCGATTTTTTCCACCTCATTGTCCCTTTTGTTTCGGCCTAATGCGTTCGACGAATGTTAGATGTTTAAAACTATTATTTGACATGGCCATTACAATTGTGGTAGCAACGTAGAATACGGAAGAATAGTAGTAGAGGAAGGTATTAAGTGCAGTAGAATGCATGTATTCTAGGGATAGCACTGGAATTATGCCTCAGCTTGATGCGAAGGCTAGCTCACGCGTAAAATGACCAGAATAATCTTAAAGTAACCACCGGACGTTAAGTGGCCGCATATACAAAATACTACATACTTTTAGCTCGAATTAACATCTTCAAGTCATTCTATGCTGGATACCTAAATCATTGAACGTTCTTCCTATATCGCTCCAACACTTTCTTTTGGTAATACAAGCACTTAAGCACAGTTTAATGCTCACAAACTCGAAGAAGGTGATAATAGGCGTCTCGCAACATTGCTTGAAGGCCAGTACAAACATCGAAGGCAAGGCTGTCGTTGAAATTGTCGCCACTCATATGAGCAGCCGAAGGAGCAAGACGCCACACTTCTTCCTTTGAACACTAAACCTTTAATTAAATGGGTCAACTTGTTTAGGATGTAATGGATTCTCAAAAACATCAGCCACCACTGATACCGGCACCGTAAGGAGACTCCTGCAAATCATCCTTGACGCTTTTAAACTTAGCGGAACAGATCAAACTCTTGTTCGCAGCATACCCCGCTTTACTTGACCTTTACTGTTTCTCGCGTTCTGATCCTGAGCAGCAGACGCAAGCGAACAAATACATTTCATCGCATGGAACTTGGACTGAAATGAGAACTAATTTTGCAAAGTTTCTAGACTTCATGCGGTAATTTCTCAACGGACTCTGACGAAGTGCGTCAGCTTTGAGCCATTTCCATGCCTGTAAATCTCCCGTATCTCTTGTGTGCTTCCTAATTTTGTTAAGAAGAGGATGAAAGTTTGGGCACAGAAGGCTTGTATATTTTGTGCATTTATGCACGCGTCAAGTTCCTTCCTCCTCGGACGCATGTACGCTGCGTCTGTATGTAAACGCCTACATAAGGGAGATGAGGAGAAGAGAGAGTTGGGGTTGAGCTGGGCGGGTAAACACACCAAAACACCTCTAGTGGTGCACAGGTTTGTCTTGACGATACAGCTTCTTAGCCGGCGTCAAATATACTGTGTAGGTGGCTTTCTCAGGACATACATCGTTTTCAAACTGTCCCGTAAGCAGGCGACTAGCATTCCAACAGTTGAAGGTGGACATGCTAAAGCCCATCTTTTTCTTAAAAGGAAGAGAGTGTATAATTAGTACCTTAAAAAACTCACATTCAGAAGCAAGCATCTATACAACTAACTAACCGGATCGTGAGAGAGTACAGTTCCCACACCGATGATAGGACCGTCAATGGTGAAAGATGCCTGGTACTTCTTTAGGCAAGGGAAGGTATGATAGGGTTCCTGTGGCAACTCACACTATATTTGACAAAATGATGCTATTTTACTCATCATAAAAGAAGAATGAAGCTAAAAAAGCTTGCTTACTAGTACACTAGCTTGGACTCCGCTATTTTGCAAATAAAATACACACCCCAAAGCCATGGGCAGATCCTGCTTGGAAAACTTGTCATAGAGGCTCGCCTGAATAAGATCAAATATACTCGGTCCACCAATACGTTTATGGGCCACTATCTCAATCACTTTGCCGGGCATTGCTTCAGTAATGAAAATTTGCCCCACAGATGAGAGCAATGTATTGCTAGCGCGTTCTGATGTTGGAGACCCACACTAAGAGAGGAATGAGGAAGTGAATAATAAAAGTAGCATCTCTTTTGCAACGCTAACGAGAAGCGCTGTTGCCAAAAAATATTAAGCCACTGACTAGCATAAAAATTTCGTGTTTATGGAGAAATAGTTGGTTTTTATAAAAAGATTGATAGATGAACAGAGAGATACGGGAACGACCAAGATATGAATAAGACAGGGAAGGAATTATGTGCGAATGCATGTACAAGCTGTGATTTGCCGAAAGCATGAGAAAAACACATATATGAAGTAAATTTAGCCAAACAAGTGGCTATTAAGCGTCAATCTTAGGAGTAAAAAGCATAAAATCTAAATACCTTAAAACGTAGTATAACTGTTGAGACAAGTTACAACGACCTCTCCTTGTAATTATCATAAAATCTAATGCAAAGTTCAGGTATGGAGTGACCGACCGCACAAAAATAAGCCATTTACTGATTGCTCCAGTGCCATTTCGCTGCATCTGGCTAAATTGTTCAGAATAAAGCGCTAATTGATGGACTTACTTCTTTTGAATAGAATCCTATTAGCGATCGGTTGCATTGTAGACCACGAGTTGAAAAGGTGATTTCAGTAGAAAGCTAAATAGTTTCGGCATAAAATCTGGCGTTTATTGCGATAATCACAAAATTATAAAAATGAGTTAACAAAAACTCACTACACACGGTTTATTGTAGCACTGAAATGGGCCGATACCACCACCTAAAATCATTCCCTGGCAGTGGCTCGTGTATTTTGTGATGTCCATTATATCGTAAAGCTAAAATGCTGTTGAACAAATAAATGCAAGTACTCTTGAGGGATCAGCACATGGAAGCAGATAATCAAGACTTCCAACATTCGCAATTGTAGAATCACCACATATGCCTACAAGTGTTTAAAAAATTGTTCTATACCAGATCGTCCTAAATAAAAAGGCCTTTGGCTAAGATTCGGACATTCAACAACCTTTGCAGTGAGATGTCCAAAATATGGGGATAGGTAGCACTCAATTGCTATAAAAAAAAATGAATTTGGCAGATTAATTGAGATCTACTATTGCACACGTCGTAAAGTATTCTGTTCGCCATTCCTGGAAGTACTGGACAAAAAGAGTTTGGACTTTCCTCCTCCGATTCTTTGCAGTGGCAGGAAATTCCACGCTGGCAATGCCACTGCATGAAAATGCCCTGATACCGAGGCTGTTTAAAAGGGCCCCTCTTTTAGGCGCTAGTGGCAACAATAAATAAAAATAAACGCAGATAATCGCGACATAAACACAAAGGCACATATAATCAGCCCTTTGTATCATATTTACGTCTTGCTGCACAAATATAAGATCCATATCCTTGTGTAAGCCTAATATGTCCACGGTTCAGGTCGTTAAAGCAAACTTGACGGTATACCGGAAGTTAATTCACCATTTAAGAATACTATCGCAAATATATAGCGTCATATAACTAGTCTTTTTTCCCTAAGAAATGAGTAAATAAAAATTGGTTTAATTATGTTGTAGGTGCCTTAGGCTTCTCCTCCAGTAGAAGGCATTAATTGGAGCTGAATACATGGCAATTCAGGACGTGAAAAGGATTCATGTATGAGCTTGGTCCAAAGGTTAACCCACGCGAATAACAAAGTGACCGTCGGATACTAGGTGGACACATAAAACAGCATTACTGATGCCATAACCACCATTTTATTGTCTATTTTGGCGATTCGAATGTACCACCAATAATAGCAATGCAGTGCTTGAAATTCTCTTGATTGTCTCTGCATTTTCACTTGGATAAACAGTGGCAACCACATTCTCTAATCGCTGGATCTGCCACTATGGCGTGCCTGAATCCTTGCATAGTAACCAAGGGACGAACTTTGAAAGTTGTCTTTCCAAAGAACTGTGCACAGCCTTTGGAATCAGTAAGGCGCGTACGACGCCGAGTTAATCTCAGACCAATGGGCAAATAGAGAGGACAAATCGCACTCTTGTCGACTTACTGAAGGTCTTTACTAAAGGAGTGCAGACTGAGGATTGAGATCTACACCTAGATGGGTCCTCCTCGGCTAACAAGTCTCCGCCCACATCTCGACTGGAGTCTCACCATTCAAAATACCTACGGGCCGTGAATAAAGAGCTGAAGAAACATGCGCTAGACAAAAGAGGTCCTACGATAGACAGAGCCAAAAAGACGTCTATAAAGAGGGTGATATAATGCAATTGTATAGACCAATTCCCCCGCCAGGAATTTAGTGGAAATTCTGCCACCTCTGCAGCAGGGAACCCCACCGGATAATCAAAGTGCTGTTGCCCACGACCTATCTCAGTCGGAATGCGGAGACCGCTACTCAGCCTTCAACAGTACGGGTCTGTCCCCAGTAGGTTACGAGGACGAAGTCCATACGTTGGCAGAGAAAGGGAAGCCGCCTGACGGAACTCTACTAGTCAGCACCGGGGAAGGTGGTTGAAGGAGAAGGTGGGGGGTGCTTAAATTGACCTTTATAGGGGAGAGGCGGTACATGAGTGTCGTGAGGAGCCCCTCTCTCGGTGATAACTGCAATTTGGCTCATCTATACTCATATCCCTGTTCCTCCTGCCTAATAAATCTACTTCAACTAACCCTCCCTTAAGGTCCGTAGCTCAGAGGCATGAGGATAAGCAGATTCGAAATCTGTTTCTGTCCTCCGTTCCTTGAAACAACTCGATGTGTCACTCTATATTGGAATAAATAGAGGCTCTCTCACTGTTTGTGTGAGATGTTTTTATGAAAAACGCCCACTCTGACTTCTCTTTTTGTTCGGTACTTTCTGGCCATCCTTCTTCTTGCCAGATTTGCAATTTTTTAACGGTTTTGTCCACTCAATTTGGCTATCGTCCCTGAAGATCGCGTACTTTGCCCTTCATATAGGGGGATTTGGTGTGAAAATTTGGATTAGGTATAGAATATTAGTGTGATGGAAGATTTTGTGTTATTAGTGGGGAATTTTCCAACGTTAGTCCAGTGGAGCGTCCGTACGCTCCGCCAACATGGGATTCGCCTCCTCCCGGCAAGACCGATTTAAGCACATCATTGTGCATTACAAGTGCTACATGGTTTTTCCGCCCGTTTTTTTTTGGCATGTTATATTGAAAGCACTTGTAGGCAAATCAGGTTGAGAGAGATGTTGTTCCTGTTCCTGGTGCTGAGCAGTAAACCCCCTTTTGTGCGAGGACTTTCTCTTCCAAATGTAATAATTCCCGTCGATCTCCCAATAGTCTGTTTGTGCAAACGCTTCAGTTCCACGTATCGGCAAAGACTCAATTGCTGGTGAAGCAGCAACCGACGGCTCATCACATGACCGTCTACGGTCAAGCAATCCTGCACCCGACTTCCTCACATGCTGCATAGATCCTGAGCAATTGTGACCGTGCGTCTCCAAAGTGGAGGGGAACAAACGCGTACCAACACTACTGACGAAATTGGGTTGAATTCCATTCCACGACTAACGCCTCTTGTGATGTCCATCACAGTTCTCCTTCACTAGTAGATCTCCCAACAGGGCGATTACCCAAATGGTTTGCATCATCCTGGAAAACTTTCTGCTTCTAGTAAAAGACCGTTCTCCTCTACCGACCATTCCGACCTTGCGTAGTTCCGAACCCCACTGGACGCCCAAAACAAACACTTTCGCTTTCCATGGAAGGCATGAACCTCTACACGTTTACATTGATTCTACAAAAATTGAAAAGTTCTGACCATATCAATTCATCCTAAGGCAAGTAACAACCCCAGCTGAATAAGCACCCCACATTCACAGCTTGAACTCAAGACTCATTGTTAGCGAGATAAAAGACACATCCAACAAATAGATTCCAGAGAGCATAAACGCAAGGTGCAGAAAAAAAGAGAAAAAGGAATCATTCGATTAGTGACGTCTCCGTTCCAACTTTTGCGTCCTCTGGTGCACAACGACCTTCCGTTTTGCATTTTCCTCCTCTTGACCTGCCCTTTCTGCCTTTGCCTTCGCTCTGCTTTCTGCATACTCACGGGCCGAAATGACTCTGTTCAATTTTTCTGCCTCAATTACTCGTTCTCTCTTGCCACCATCAGCGTGTAGCACATCTTCTTCTGGAAATACGAAAACCAAAAAGTGCTCCAAATCACCTGTTACCTAAGTCTAAAGTACGGATGCCCATCATCACTCGAATCAATTCAGTAAACGCATTTTTTACCTACAAACCTTTCTTTCTTTGCTGCGTTCTCCTCATTCTCGCCTCCACGTCATCTTCATCGTCACTGAAGAAGAATGCATCCATATCGTCGAGCCGATTACCACTTGTCCCACCAACGCCAACAGCACTCAACCTTTCTTGTTGCTTTGCCATCATTCGCTGATGCTTCTCCTCAGCCCTTGCTCCAATATCGGCTAGGTGTTTCGAAGGCGGAGCCGACTTCTTCTTCGGGATATTTGCTGCGCCAGCGCCAGCAATGAAGGACGTATTGGCTGCGCCACCGACGCTGCTCCCCGTACTCCGAGAATTGAGAAGGAGGTAGCCGGGAGTGGAGCTGGAATTGACATCACCTGGTGTCGGCATTCGTTTAAGATGCCGCGAGGACTTGAAATCTTCTGCTGCGGCAACTGCAGTATCAGAGGAACTGAATTTCCCCGGATTGAGAGTGGAGAGAGCATCCATTACGTTGCCTGGTTTGATTCCCTCCCTAAAAAAAGCGATCATAACATAAAGCTTGCTGCGTCGACCTTTTGTCCGAAAAGGAATTGTCAGATCAAGTTTAATGCCAAGGGAAGTGAGGGACTTTACGAAACCGTTATCGTGGGTGCTTTTATCGTTGATATGGAGGGTTTATTGACAAACATATCTTGAACAGTTCAAACAGCCGCGGTAACGCAGAGACAAGCAACGTTATTCCAAGAATCTGGTTTAGGGAGTGCGTGAATGGAGGGAAGACGGTTGACGCAGGAAGACGAAATGCGGCCCATATTTAACAAAAGCCAAAACTATTCAATGAAAGTCGGGCAGTTTAATAAATTCCTGTCATCATTCGGTCTTGAACCTAATGCCGATCAGATGCGTGGTGTCAGGTGGATGTGCACATGATTGGTGGATTTAGAAGCAGAACTCGAATGGATGAACAGTTAAGTAGATACCGCAGGCTTCTATTGTATGGATGCCTCTAACTTAATCTTCTTATTCCTGTAGGGATGTGGAATTGTGCGCAAATATCCGAATATAATCTCAATAAGGAGGAATGGATGGATTTGTTGTTAAAGAATAATGGAACCAAGAACCAAAACCATGCAGCATTTACTTTTTAGCGTATCCCTGCTTCTCCTCAATTTCCTCCAGGTCGATCTCCTCTTCTCGCTCCATTATTGCCGCAGCCACTACATCAACACCCAAGCCAGTCTTTCCGCCTTTTGACGCCGTCGTCGCTGAAGGAGAGATTCCACCCCCATTTGCCACCTGCTTAGCAAAGTATTCGGCGTCAGCCAGAGCCACCTTCAGTGCTGCCTCAGCTTCAGCATCACCCTGGTAACCAGTCGCACCCGCTGCACGAAGCACCGCCACTGTACAGGCATCTCGTTGCTTCTGCAACTGAGATTCTTGCTTCCCTTGGGGTTGATTTTTTTCCCCTTGTGTATTCAGATTAGTGAGTTTCGTTGAGGAATTCCTGGGAGGGAAGGGATTGACGTAGGAAGGCACCGGAGTCGTGGTATTAGCAACAACGGTCGAGATAAGAATGGAACGCATCTGCTCCTCCAATCGGTCAAAATGCTCAGAGGCAGTGGTGTTGGTGGCAGCAGTGGTGGGAGATTGAGCAGATGGGGTGACTGCAAAAGAGCCACCCGGAAAAGATTACTATTAGACAGAATAAAAAGGGTCGAGAGAAGCATCTACAGCCACTCTATACATTCTGTACGACTCGACGAACAAGCAGATGAGCAATAAAAAAGGAGTGCAAATCACGTGAAGGTAGTCAAAAGAAAACCACTCAATGCAGCGCATTTCAGTCATGATAAAAGCAAAAGCGTGAGTAAGCAGACACAAGAAGGATTGAAAGCAACTAAGGCTACAATTGTGATGAGTTGGAGGACATGAACTAAATAAGCGAGTCTTTAGAAATATTAGAGCACTGCACGACAACAACAAAAATAATCAAGTGGAAAGCATTCTTAACTGGTGTGTCCAATACTACTTAGCAAAAAATCTCGAAATAAAAAGTCAGGCTATTGTAGACTTGCGCAGACAATGTGTACGAGGAAAGAAATATTAAGGCTTGAATGAGCATAGGTGAAGAGAAATGTGTGGAGAACAGACTCGTGCAACCGCACCAGCGGAGCAACCATTTATAAATATTCGAAGCCATAAGAAATAAGCGCATAGAGGCAATATCGGACAAACGAATAGCGCAAAAGAACCCATAACATGCAGCAAAAAGGCCGTTATGAACTTGCTCCTACTGCAGCCAATTAGTAGCCTACCTTGTAGATCATGAAAACGCGTAAATATCGTTTCACTGCCTTCAATGGCCAACTCTGAGGGCTAAAGTAGGAGTAAAAAATTAAGAGATGTTTCAAGTCGTGCACGATCAGCATGTATAACTTACCAACACGGATTCGAGAAAACTCCGAATGCTGTCGATGATCTCTGGTTTATCCAAAGTTTCGTCGTTAAGAAGTCCTTCAATGTAATCACCATAGACTTCAATATCAATCTCATCGCTAAGGTGAGTCAAATACTTTCCCAGCCAGATGGAGAAAGATGTGCAAGACGGGGCGGCGGTAGTCATCTCGCAAGGAGAAGCTAAAAGGCGATAGCCAATTGATCAAGTTCCACTGCTTTAAAATGCGGCGTCACGAAACGTTACGAAACTGAAGTGAATCACTGATAAACAAAATGAACAGGAAATTAGCATCCAAGAGGTCAAGGCGAAAATACTCACCCAAGACTCCTACCACAACCAATCCGAAGCGGAAATTTCGAAACCTCAACATTGGTTAAGGGAGAAATAAAGCACATATCAGGGCCGATCAATAACTAAGGCTGCGATTATTAAGAATTTGAAAAAAGGCTTCATATTGTAGGAATTTCACAATTATATAACCCACGGCTGTCTTGTAAAATATGTTTGGTCGTACTCAGCACAAGCAAACTGGTATATTTGTTTAGCTAGCAAAATTTAACTCACAGCATAAATCCCGATTCATAAATTATAAATTTTGAGCCTTAGGTCTTTAATATTGCTTGCACTTCTTATATTAAATAGTTTTTAATGTGATTTAATAAAAAGTTAATTTTTACAATCGACTGCTCACAACTAAAGTTATCTAAATTAATTTATATGCCCACAACGTCCCCTTCCTGCGTAAGCTTCGTTAGGCCGCAGGCACTTTTCCTACGTCAGAAACCCATGTCCACCACTTCGTCCGCGCCTTTTGATTCAACAACCCTGCTCTAATGTCACTCGACGGTGATGCTTTAAATCGGACCTACGACCTAGAAGAGGTTTTTCTGCTGTTTCATTTCTCACAACAGTTGTCTTTTTAACCTTCAGTCCGCATTTGTTGATGAAAACGTTGATGCCCCACTCCATTTGAAACCCTCGCAGACGTCGGATAATCATGTGTCGATATTGACTCCACCGAGGGTGTGAACTCTATGGATAGTGGTTTTGTCGATTTTCTTTATTTCCAAATAGCAGACTCAGACTCGCTAGTTACAGGGTCACCTGTCCGCCTCAATAAGTATGCAATATCACTGACTACATTGTCTTGGCACTTAAGTTTCACTTGTCGGTTTTCTTGTATAAAGGGTCAGGTGCGGAAGTCTCCAAGTACGGATCGAACATTCACGTCTCCGGTTCCTCTCTCGCCGCCTTCTTCGAAGAATATGGCTAAAATTAGGGCAAAGTCTCCTTGGTCTGACCATGTAGCATCTAGAAGACGCTTCTTGGGCAAGTTATTGTCAGGACAAGGACCTGTACGCACAATCCCGCCGCCATTTCCACTAGCGTCTTCTCTGTCGCATGAATTACGGTCCATGACGCGGAGCGATGATGAGGAAACCGCGACGAAACAAGATGTGACGTATTCCAACTCAGGAAATAAGGGTTATATAGGTAGTGTTGTCCAATCACCTGTAAGTATCGCAGGGTTAGCAACAATAAAAATGTATTTTTTAGTAACCATTTACCCTGTTGTACATTTTAGACGCCCTGGCGGAAGTACCCTAGAAAAGAAAAGCTAAAAGGTTGTCAACATCTTTATGTTGCGCGTCTCAGACAACGACGTATTCACGAAGATGGACATGCTAGTTGTAGTGGCTGATCAGCTTCTCAGTATCACATAATGAACTACTACGCATGAAATCTTGTAAAGTATATAACCCTCTGGACTTCATTAAATACTTCAACGTTCTCATATTATCGATGGTTTTCACTTGGGAGGCAGGGTCTATATGATCAGTAAAGCTGCAAGCACCCTCCTTGCCCTTGTTCAAGGAGCGGCTTAGCTGATATTTAGTTTAATTTAGCTATTGCTACTATGAAAGTATCTTCGGTAGAGGTGCACCTTGTCGTTGTTGGTCGTCAGTCGGTCATCAGCAGCAAGCCAAAAGTACTAACTCCACCGACTGCCTGATAATTCCGCGTGGCTGGATGAATCAGTGACGTCAGATGGTGCTGCGTGGCGATCACCATCAATATGTAGGAAATCACGATAAAGTGGTCTTCTCTTCCATTGTGTCGATTTGTGCTCACAAGAGAGCTTAAATTCATCACTCCAGGATAGGGGATATTAAGCGCTAGCCCGGTCATCGCCATCCCCCGAATCGCACTCATTGCATTATCCGCTCAGTGAAACCATCAGAGCCTTATTACTGCGGTCCACTTACACGATCTCCGGTAGGATGCAAGGGGATTTAGTTAGAGGTTAACTTGCAAGTAAGGATGCGTCTCCGCCTTGAATGAAGCGTGAGCTAGGCTCGTCTTTCAATTGACGTGGAGGTGGAAGGCCTTGATGAAAAACCTCAGAACCAGAAACAACAACAACAACAACAGTCACCTTAAGGACATTAGCAGCTATATTCCCTACCTAAATGCGCAAATATGCACCTTATCAAGTCTTCCCGTCCAGA